CTGTAGGGAAGGGGGAAGATCTGTATGGGGGTGTGGAATACATAACTCACACTGTTATCAGAATTTAGCCGCACCCACAATTTGCTATGGCACACTAAGCTCATTGTGCCCAGGGCATTTTGTCTTTATACCTTAAAATATCCACCTCTTGTTTCAAAAGTCTGTAACCAACCATTTTAGGGCATGCTAAAAATGGGGGCGTGCATTTGTAGGTGTGACTACAAACAGGGGGGGTTGTGGGTATGGTTAAAAGTGGGCATGGTCAGTAGGGTGTCCTCAGATTTAATTTTGAAAAAATCTTAAGCTTACTTTGCGGCAAATAGAAGGACACTTCAGAAAAATGTTTTGTTGTGTTTATGGTCATTATACTGTTGTGGGACCCACAATGTGCAACTGAGACAGAGCTTTCTGACACTGGGCAGTACATTTACCTCCAGAATTCCTTGATAGCCTTGAGCTTTCATTGTGCCTTGCAAAAATTAAAAGGAATACAGGGCCAAATGCCACAGCAGCCTCTTCCCATGTTTTATAGTTTTTTTTTCTATGAAAGCTTCATTTTTTTGTCTGTGAACATAGATGTAGTGTGACTTGCCCAGTTTTGTCTCATCTGTCCAAAGGACATTTTAGCAAATTGTAATCAAGCTTTTTCGTATTTCTTTTAACAGTCTGTCACTTAAAAAGTAGTATAAGCGCTCTTTTCATACAGTTCTTTTCTTTGAAAGCGTCTTTTTTTTTCATCTGTGAGCAAAGGACTGATGTAATTTGCTATAAAGCTCCGGTGTTGTCTCATCTGTCCAAAGGACATTTTCCCAGAAACATTGGGGGAAATTTATCAAAACTTGAGCAGACAAAATCTGGAGCAGTTGCCCATGACAAGCAATTCCTAATTTTCAAATCCTAACTGAACAAACTGAAGAGAGAAGCTGATTGGTTGCCATAGGGATAAATTTCCCTCATTGTGTCTTGTCATTTTAGGACATTTCAGTCTAGTTTATCAGTATTGGTATTGAGTACTCGTGAACATGCCCCAATACTAAGCGCCAATACCGTCGCTTTAAATTGTTAAACACAAGGGGTTGCCGTAAGCTCCTGCACTTGCTGGGGACCTCACAGCAGCCTTGTGGGGACATTGTAGCGGCTGTTTACAGCACCGGTCCAGCCACACATCTCCTCCTTGCCACCACCCACACAGTCCTGGTGAGATTTGCACACAGCCATGGTGAGACCAGCACACAGCCCTGGTGAGACTGCACTGCCATGGTGAGACCCCCCATACAACCCTGGTGAGATCCACACAGCCATGGTGAGACCTGCACGCAGCCCTGGTGAGACCCCGTACATCATTTTGAGACCCCACACAGCCCTGGTGAGACCACAGACCTGGTGAGACCTCGCACATCCTCCTAAGACTCCTCATAGCCTTGGTAAGACCTCGCACATCCTCCTGAGATCCCACACAGCCCTAGTGAAAGCATGCACATCCTCCTGAGACCCAGCACAGCCATGGCGAGACCACACACAGACCTGGTAAGACCCCGCACATTCTCCTGCGACCCACAGGCAGCCCTGGTGAGACCGCACAGCCATGGCGAGACCAGCACACAGCCCTGGTGAGACTGCACAGCCACGGTGAGACCAGCATGCAGCCCTGGTGAGACCCGCACACAGCCATGGTGAGACCCCACACACAGCCATGGTGAGACCCCACACACAGCCATGGTGAGACCCCGCACATCCTCATCAGACTCCGCACAGCCCTGCAGGTGAGCACTGGAACTGCAGGACCTGCTCCAGTGCCACCTGGAGGTGTTCTGGTCCGTGACAATAATAGTATATAAATTTGGTTCATACTCTGTCCCGGAGTACCAGCCTGAAGTCTTGGGCAAAGGGTTTCAGGAAGGGAAGATGTGCAGCTGGCGGAAGCCCTGTAAGAAGGCGCCCTGTGGTTCTCCGGGACCTAATGCAGCCAAATCAAATTGCAGAGGTCCAGAGCTCAGTTATAACGCACAGTGCAGAAGTCAGCGCTGTAATGCATAGTAGAGATCAGCGGTAAACACAGAGTCTAGAGGTCAGTTGTAACACAGAGTGCAGAGGTCAGCGGTGTCACGCAGAGTATAGAGGTCAGCGGTAAACACAGCGATGTGATGCAGAGTGCAGAGGACAGCAGTGTAACGCACAGTGCAGAGTTCAGCTGTGTGATGCAGAGTGCAGAAGTCAGCTGTGCTACTTACAGAGCGGAGGTCAGCGGTGTGATGCAGTGTGATGCAGCGTGCAGATAACAGCAGTGTAATGCACAATGCAGAAGTAAGCAGTGCAATGCATAGTGCAGAGGTCAGCAGTGTGACTTACAGTGCAGAGTTCAGCGGTGTGATGCAGAGTCAGCTGTGTGACGTACAGTGCAGAGGTTATCAGTGTGATGCAGAGTGCAGAGGACAGCAGTGTAATGCACAATGCAGAAGTCAGCAGTGCAATGCAGAGTGCAGAGGTCAGTAGTGTGACTTACAGTGCAGAGGTCAGCAGTGTGACTTACAGTGCAGAGCTTATCGGTGGGGGGGTCTTCTGGTCTCAGGCGAGGCCTCCAGTCCAGCATGATGCCCAGCCCCCTCCTTGTGTCCTCACTTCAGGACCCGCTCTTTCTCTGCCAATGGTAGCCCTGCAGTCTTCCTCCCAGTGGTAGCCAATGGTGGCCCTGCAGTCTTCCTGAAGTGGGCGGAGGAAGCTGCAAGTGGCCGCTGAGAAGCCCTACTATCCAGCGAGCTTTCAGAAAGGCAGGTGGCTGTTCTCCTCCTGATAAGCCATGGAGAGGATCATGGCAGTGCAGTGGCGGTGCTGAGGTCTCCACAGCTGCGATCCCTCCTGTCAGCTCTCTCTCCTCACGGCCGCTCCGTAACTGCAGCGGCTGGGAGGAGAGAGAGAGCTGACAGGAGGGATCACAGCTGCAGGGACCTCAGCACTGACTCCCACGATCCTCGACTGTCAAGATCCTCTCTGCAGCTCATCCAACGGAACCAGCTCCCCGCAACCTTAGTCAGTCATCAGCTGGTAGCAGCTGCATGTAGCTTTGGGCATAGCGGGCCAGGATGGGCCGAATATTAGGCTGATTGTATTCGGCCTGGCCCACCGGCAAAGTGCCCTGTTTGCCCGATGGCCAGTCTGGCCCTGGTAGGAGACCTAGGAGGACCCCACTGCTGAACACAGAAACATATAAAAGCCAGGTTGGAGTTTTCCAAAACTAGGGATGTCCAGATACCAGTTCAGATACCAGTGCCAATACTTGGCATTTTCATGAGAACTACCAGGGTTGCAGCGCTTGCAGCTGGGACCTGGCTCTGGCTCTCCACCACTGTCCTGAAATCATTAGT